GGGAGGGAGGGGAGAAAGGAGAGAGGGAGGGAGGGGAGAGTCTGAGGGGACAGTCCCTCATGGGGAAGGCAGAATGGCCAGAACTCGAGGCTGCTAGTTATGTCATGTCCACCATCAGGAAGCAGAGAGAGAATCCTGGTGCCCAGCTCTCTTGGTCTTTTTTATTCAGTCCTCGATGCTAGCCTGTGGGATGGCACACCCTGACTCAAGGTGGCTCTCCCTGCCCCCCTTTAACCCATTCTAGAAACTCACACTCAGATAGTGCCAGAGGTTTGTTTCTATGATGATTCTAAATTCCGCCAAGTTGGCAGTCCAGATTCATAACCACATAGCCTCCCTTGCCTGTCTCGCCAGCCCGTTTGATTGGCCCCTCCCGCACCACGCCTGCTGTCCCCCTGCGCCCGCACCCCCATGTATGCTGACCTTAGTGTCATTTTTATGTTCTCATCCCCCCAGGGAGGTGGCTGTCGCTTCCTGCGTTACGACTGCAGAGTCTCCTCTCCAAGGAAGGGCTGGGCTCTCCTGCACCCTGGCCGCCTCACACACTACCATGAGGGGCTACCCACCACCTGGGGTACTCGATACATCATGGTGTCCTTTGTTGACCCCTGACACTCAACCAGTCTGCCAAACCTTCTCTGCCACTGTGCCTTGTTGGGCAACCTGGGTCGCCATTCTCAAAGAGAGGGGACCCTGCCCTTCTCGTCTTCTGAGTGTGTCTATGTGTCTGGGACGGAATGTGCTGGCCCCAACAGCCCTCAGGAGGTCCCTGGAGTCTTCCACTTTCCCACTGACCCCATGGACTCAGGGGGAGTGGACTTCTGAGGATCTCCTGCCTGATAAATTATTAAGCTTCCTCAGCCTCACTTTCAATAAAAGGATGTTTGTAACTGTTGAGTCCATGAGTCATATCTATAAAGACAGAGTCTCATGTAGCCCAGGCTGGCCTCCATCTATCTCACTGTAGGGATTGCAGTTGTGTCTCATGTCCACTTTATTTGGTGCTGGGGATCAAACCCAGAGTCCTGCAGAGTAGCAAGTGCGCTACCCACTAGGATGCACCTCCTCTTTTTAATTTAAAAGTCAATTATTTGTACACATGTGTGAACATTGTGCATGGGTGCAGGTGTCCACAGAGGACAGGGTGGTACCAGGTTCCACCAGATCTGGAGTCACAGGTAGTTGGGTTGAGAGCCTCCTGCTTGGGTGCTGGGAACTAAACTGGGGTTCTCTATAACCGCACCTAGCACTCAACCTCTGAGCCATCTCTCCAGTCCCTGCCCCTTTTATTACATTTATTAATTTAGCATGTTTGCGTGTGTGTACATGTGCATAACTCTGGGACTAGCCTCTTTCCTACCACGTGTGCTGGCTAGTTTATATCAACTTGACACAGAAGGACTTAGCTGAAAGAAGGGCACCTCAATTGAGAAAAATGCCTCCCTAAGATCTGGCTATAAGGCATTTTCTTAATTATTGATCAGTGGGGGATGGGGGAGACCCAGCCCATTGTGGGTAGAGGGCGTGACTATAGGCCACGGAGCCTCAAGACACATCTCCATGTTAATGAGATACCTAAAGGCCAGAGGGGCATAGCCAATTAAGGATTCCTTCCCAGACCCCCCCTCCCTGCAAAAGGTATTTAACCTCAGGCCTGCTCTGAGGAAACGGTGTGTGTGTGTGTGTGTGTGTGTGTGTGTGTGCAGTAAGCTATGGACTGCTTCTCTTTCATCGGCATCCACTGTGGGAACAATGGAGGTCTTCACCTATAGAGGTGCCGTCTAATCTCCCGCAGAAGACTTCTCTGTATTTCTAGCCATGAAGACCACCAACCCAGTCAAGACGACCATCCCCACAGGACACCCACTGGCACTGGTGTGGGGAGAGTACAGTCAAATTTTCCGCATCTGCCTCTCTCCATGGGGGTGGGTGGGGGGAGGGGACGGACTTGGGACCCACATCAACCCAACACTCCTCAACTCTTTGGTAAAAGATTTATTTTGGAGCTGCAGGGATAGCTCAGCCATTACAAAATTATATATTATTCTCCCTGAGAACCTAAGTTTGATTCCTAGCACCCGAGTCAGACAGCTCACCACCATCTGTAACTTTCAGCCTGTGGTCTCCAAGGGCACCTCCATTTACCCTCCTACCACGCACAACACACATGATAAAAATTTAAAAATAATAGTTTTGCAAACTATTTTTTATTTGTAAGTGTGTGCACTCATGCATGCATGTATGTGTGCACACATATGCATGCACGTGTTCAAGAACAAACAGGAGACCGTGGAGGCCAGGCACAGGCATCACGCCCCCCGGCGCTGGATGGTTGTGAGACACTTTACATGGGTACGGGAATTGAACTTAGGTACTCTGCAAGAATAGTTAAGCGCTCATAACTGCTGAGCCATCTCTCCAGATTCTCTCTATTCACCCCCTTTCCTTTCTCTCTCTCTCTCTTTCTTTCTTTCTTTCTTTCTTTCTTTCTTTCTTTCTTTCTTTCTTTCTTTCTTTCTTTCTT